GTTATGTTGGAGGTAATCTCTACATTTGCAAAAAAATTCTTTAAAAGTCAGACAAAATGATTTTCTCAAAAATTTTTTTCACATTTTGTCTCTCATAGTTGAGGTCTACCTATGATGTCAATTACAGGCCTCTCTCATCTTTTTAAGTGGGAGAACTTGCACAATTGGTGACTGACTAAATACTTATTTTCCCCACTGTATTTAGTGAACGATCACATTACGTGTTGGGGATGACTGGGAACTACCACCACACCAAATCTTAGCTCAATATCTTTAAAAATGAAGCGTTGTTATCATGTTTCTGTTCACTAAGGCCGCTCAGCTGTGGCGGCCATCTTGAATCGAGATGACTCCGGAAGTGACGTCCAGTGACTACTTTCTGAGAGTTTTATTAAACATCCTTAGTGGTTCATGAGATATTTTGCTYACAGACAGACATTACAGTTAATGTGCACCTGCTCCCACCCAGATGTGGACAGGTAGCAAACACGTGGCTTTGCTATCTTTAACACTGAAACACCTGAGCTGTAATCTTAGATAAAAAACAAAACATTGACTTCACCTGAGACATGAAGCACAACTGAAAACTCTCATTATTACTCAGATTGTTGAATATATTAGTTTTCGACCGGCTCAAGTGAAGAGATCAGTAATGAGCAGAGGTTTTAGCATAATAAAAGCAACACTAATGTGCTAACATTTAGCTGAGATCTTTTTTATTTTTAGCTTTAATTAGCATTAGGCTAAAAGGTAACAGGTAAGCTGACAGAAAGCCGGAGCATGAATGAGACTTTCTGCTACAGCAGCAGGAACTTACACGGCTTCTTCTTCTTCTTCTTCTTCTTCTTCTTCAAGCTGGTACCGGTGGAAACCGAACAGAACCACACGCAGGCTGAGCCTCTCCGAGCGCGGACTGACTGCAGCTAACCGAACCTTGTCTTGGTTTTCAGCCTCTCAGCTCTCACTCTTTAAGAGTTTTTGGATTTTCCTTATCAACAGCCTCCTCGCCGCAGTCGGGCCCGGTACGCGGCGTCACCTCATTGGACCCGGTTGGACCCACGGAAGATGCTTCAATCAGGAAACCGCCGTCAAGTTACAACAATAAAACGAGCCGTTTCCGGTGGTGCTCAAAGTGGGGAACAAAATCCAGAGTGCTGGGAGCGAGCAGCCAGAAAAATTAACAGAGTCTTTAATTAAAAACTAGATGTTATTTGGTTTTGAATTAATATTTCATTCTTTCTAATCACAGGACGCTTGCATGGCCTTATTGTAAAAGGTAAACCTTATTGTGAAAGGTGAAACATAGTACTTCCGTTAAACTAACGTCATTTTGAACCCGCCCCCTTCCTTCCACGAACTACAGCGTGATTGGTCCACGCCAGTTGAAGGACTCAACATATAGTTTTGGTTAAAGCCAATTGGTCCACGTCCAGGTACTGGGCGTGTCAGATGACGTAATTTCAAGGTGAAGGCTGAGGCATTTACGATTACATATTTTTATGGTGAAAGACTCTTCTGCCAGATGTATTATCAATCTGATTTTGTTTCTGGGAAAGTTTCATATTCATAATATTAAAATAATGCATAGAAAGCCACTTTTTGACCTCTTTGKAACGGATGTGAAATTGTATCTTATTCCAATATCGGATTCAAAAAAGCTGTAAAAACGAAACATGTAATATGTACAAGTTTATTCTGTAACTATCATAGTTGTTTTCTTTTTTCTTTTCTCTCTTTGTTCCTTTATCACACTTTCATTTTTCTTGATCTGCTCTTTGAAATGTTTTGTAAGATAATAAT